GACAGCCTGTAACTGTTTCACAAATGTCAATCACACCGTGCTGAAGCAATCCATTCAAATACCGCTTGGAACACCGTACATCTCTGATTTGGGGGTGTGTTTGTTTATGTCCAACACAATATTCAAAGCACAGAGTTACTATGTTTTTTTTTTACCTTAAATAAAATAAAATAAAACAATAAAATAAAAGTATGGTGTTACTATAGATTTTTGCTTAAAAAATAAAATATTGATAAAAGAACATTGGTACTGTAGGTTTTTAAATAACATAATATAAAATCAAAACCTGATAGTATTTTCAGTATTTCTAATATGTCTGCTATAGTTATGAAAAAGCTTCTTGTTTTTTTTAGGCTTGTTCCAGATTTAACAGAAACTGGGAGTATTGGTCTATTCAGTTTAATTAATTGTGATTCCAGATGTGTCAAGATTAAGAACTGTTTTTTTGTTTTGTTTTGTTTTTTCATTAAAACGTTAAAGTTATATTATTTTCATGTATTATAATAATCTATTTATTTAATTACTTTTAAGTCCTCTTGTGTCTCCTTTGGAAGTTTGCTGAGGCCCCCTAGTGGGCCCCAGCCCCCGGTTGAGAACCACCAGTATATGAATGGTGTGAATTTAATATACTTTTGTTAACCAGATAGCATAAAAAAACAAGCAAATTGCTAAAATCTGCAAAAAGAAAAAAAAAGAAGTTTTATATAGCTTTATGATTTAAGCACTAAATCCTTTTGGCATAGAATTGGCCTTTTTTTTTGCATCTCATCTGCAGAAGTTCAGCTTTTCCTAGAATTTCTGATACTGTTGCTGCTTGCTCAACTCATTGGTCAAACCAGTTACATTCTGTGTTCATTTTTGCTCTTTTGGTTCTCCATATGATCCAAGCAACAATTCATCTATATAATTTCTAGCTCTCTTCAGTTGAGTTGTACTCTTCACTTCTCTGTTCAGTCTCTTCATGAGCTCATCCAATCGCCTGTGGCCACTGTCAACCCGGGTGTATTTTTGGCAACACGTTCATGTTTATTTCCACTTTAAATGCTTATTTGCATTCTGAACAGCCTCCTCTCTCTATCTCTATCTCTTTCAATCTCAATCTCAATCTATTTCACTATTTTCTCTCTGTCTGTTGCTCTGTTCTCTTGTTGCTCTGTCATTCTCTTTCTTTCCTTGATCTCTTTCTCCTTATTTCTCTCTCTGTCTTGACGCTTCACTACTTGGGATGCACCGAATGTTCGGCAACCAAAATTATTCGGCCGAAAATATTAAAAAAAAAGTTATTTCGGTGTTCGGCTGAATAAACGAAAAGACAGAATAAATTGTACCAAACAATGACATGACACGATCAAATAGAGGGGCGCGCTAATGCAGCAATCATGTCTGCAGTGTGGAAGCATTTAAAACTGTCAGAGAAAGACGCAAAAATCATTACAAGCACCGACAGCGAGAGCCTGCTTACCACTGCATCTGCATCTCATGTCTCCGATGAGAAGTGGAAGGGGTGGTTGTTGCTGGTTACTGTATGATGATTGAGATAGCGAAATGGCCTTAAACAATTAGTAAATAAACTGCAGAATGTTATGTTTTCTAACATACGCACAAATTGCGCGAGCTTGTTAGCCAGGGTTCAAAGTCCAAAGCGAGAAGAAAATCTGCACTGAAACAGTGTTTCTCGTCAGTTGTTCAGTAACATTTGTATGCATTGCTTTGTTGGTATAATGTCTGCTAGAATGTTAAAAATGTTCATTGTTAAGTAAATATTTTTTAATTATTGTTTTGTAATTGATTTTTTCTTTGAAAAGCAAGACAAAACAATAAAAAGCTAAATTTGGGTATTTAATTTATGCAATGGTATTCGGCCTTCGGCCCAGTGTTCGGCCAAGAATTTTCCATTTGGTGCATCCCTGTTCACTACACCATACTGACCAATCCTACCTTAGCAACTGTTGCCATCCATCAGATTATCAAACAAGCTTTTGCTTTTTCTTCTGGCGGGTCATTTGTGTTTGAAAAGTTAAAATTTTGCAGATTTAATTAAAAAATATTTTTTATGTTTTTGTTGGCGAACATGTTTAGGTAGCACTGCTGTATTTTCTTTCTATACACATATTTCCATATGGACTTTTGTAAATATAATTTATTTCAGTGAAACTCTGTCATATATTTGATGTCACATGAAAGTCAATTAAATGGACAGCTTACAAATGTGGGCTTACAGCTTACAGGTTTGTTCAGGTTAGCTTGGTAGAAATCCATGTTTTGTTAAACTATATGATTGTGGAATCAAAAGGAGGAACAGGCTCAGTCAATACACATTTGACCCTGTAGGGTTTATTATCTTTTCAGCTGAAAATTGGTTTTACGTTTTGTCAACTTGCTGGGGCCTTAGTGCCCTTCAAGAACAGATGAGTGTCTTTGAAGCTGAAGGAGCAGGTCTACTTGTTGGTTGGTTTTCTTTTTCTTTGTACTTAGTTTTGCTCCTCTGAAGGAAGAGAGTTGTTGATTAGATGTCACGTATTGCTTGGAGTGGTCAAATCTTTCTGTCCATCTCTTTTCTTTCTCTGTCACATTCTTCACTGCCCTCCGTCGTTGTCTCTCTCTCTAATTGCTCTGTCTTTCTTCCTGTCCCTTGAATCTGTATTTCTCTACAGGATGCTATAAATCTGCAGGGGTAGTGCTGGCTGACTGGGCTGCTGTGGGAAATAGAGGACATGAGCTAAAGCAAGAGAGACAGGCAACTCCAGAGCAGAGTGAATAAGAACAAACTGTCCCCATTGCATTTATAGAAAAGTGACATTCTGGACCAGAGGGTGTGAGGAATGGGAGGGGAATCAATAATCTTGTCATTTCATTGTCCTGTCGTTATTGCTTGTTATCCTTTTTCTCCATTGCTTTGCCATCGCTTTCTCACCTTTTGAGCCCAATTGAGACTAAACTGTGGGAGTTCCCAGCATTCCCTGATCTGCCACTCTGGACAAGCATTAAGCTCCTACTGTGGAATTTCATTAACACACAAAGTTCACCACCTATCCGTCTTTCTGTCAGTCTGTCTGTTTATCCATCTATGGTTCTGTTGTTCCTTCTATCATTCTATTTGTCTGCCTTTGTCTGATTGTCAATCCTGTTTGTTATTGTTCCTGTCTGTTTATCTATCGTTCTATCATTTAATGTATCATTCAGTCTATCTATCTATCTATCTATCTATCTATCTATCTATCTATCTATCTATCTATCTATCTATCTATCTATCTATCCAATTCAATTCAATTCAATTCAATTCTATTCTATTCAATTTAGATAGCTTTATTGGCATGACAAAAGCACATTTTGCATTGCCAAAGCATTCATAGGAAAAGAGAACATATACAACAGTGTGATTTGGAACAATATAGCAATTGAAATAACATTTGAACAAGCAATATTGAAAGAATTAAATTAGAACAAGGAAAATATACACATATATATGCATGCATACACACATACATATACACTATCTATCTATCTATCTATCTCTCTCTCCGGTCTATTGATCGATCTAGACATTTTATTACTTTAATTATCCATATATATATGGCTCATTATGTAAGCTGAATTGGTTTGTGTCTTACAGGCATCTGGAGAGGCAGTCAGACAGGCAGTAGTAAGAAAGTGGCAGTAAGCCTGATCATGCTTTGGCTGATTGGCAGTGTGTATACAGTGTTAAGCACAGGAGAGAGCACAGCTCAGCGCCCTGGCTGTTTTCTTCATGGTGCGGCTGTGAATGAAAGCTTGCAGCTGGGATGAGCACAGATTCTCACTATTGGGAGTTTTTTTTTTTTGCAGTCGGTACAGCTTTTCAATGAACGCAATTGCTCCTTGGAGACCCAATGATTTAGAAGTGAATGAATATGCCATTAAGAGAAGCAGTCTGGTCTATCATCGGCTCAGTCTGTTTGATGTCATAGTAGCTTGGGGTTGTTATGACATCATTCCAGTTGTTCAGATATGAGCCGGTTCCCACGCTTGTCTCCGAAAGGAATGGATTATGAATCAATGCTGTGTTTGTTTGTACAAACTCTTAACATGCTCCGTTGTCGAATGAGGTTTTGTCATTACAGAATGATGGGATTGAACTCCTATAACTGTTGCAGAGTAGAGTAATTGAAAAAACACCTGGAATTTGACAATATGTTGAATTAGTAATGTGGAAAAGAAAAGAAGAAAATCAGCCATTATTATTCATAAGTTTGCCATTGTCAAATAGAAGGGATGTAGTTGATATGTGTGCTTGAACAACCACTTCAGGGGGTTTTCATTTTTTTTTTAATTTTCACCTTGTGGAATGTGAGTTTCCAGCATTTCCCCCCTAAAAGCAGATAGACTGATAAACGGCATTGAGAAGGCATGGACACGAGCTCCATGCTGACAGAATGACTGGAGACCAGCCAGAACAGAAGCGCTAGATCATGAGAGTGTGAGAATGAGATGGCAGAACAGAGTGGGAAGCTACAAATAGAAAAAATAGAGTGAGGAATGGTGAAGGTGAGGTATAATGACTTTGGCTGAAGGCCAGCGGTCTTATTTGGTGATTCAGAGACACCAAAAGGCTTTTTGTTGGTTCTATTCACTTCCTCTTGTATGTAATTTGTTACTTGGTTTTGTTATTTTTGTATGACACCAGCCGACAGCAAAATGAAGGGGTTTATCTGATACAAATCCCAAGCTCTGTCTGTTTCCTATTGACATGTTTTGAAATAGGATGTACCAGTATGTGGCTTTGATGATAACGCTACATTTACTGTCGTCTTGTGAAGAAAATAAATGGAAGGTAAAATCATTAATGAAAGGGGGATGAGTGGTCTTTGTAGGATCAATAATCATTTGTGGTTCTGTTTGCCGTGCATCTGTGCAAAGTGGCTATAATCACCTTCTCTCTCTCTCTCTCTCTCTCTCTCTCTCTCTCTTTATATATATATATCCCATCTATCCATCTCATGCTCTTTCCTTAATGGGGTCAGAGAATCTGTACCGTGTAAGGAGGCAAAAATGTGTCCCACAGACTAGCATTGACGGTCTAGAGGAAGCTGAGGTAAGATGATCTTTTTGAATATTCAGTGTGCTACTGCTTTCTTTTCTATGATATTGTTCTGTGACCTTTCCATGTCCCTTGTTCACCAGAACAAATGTCAAACGCATGTGCTGGTGTTGGTGGTTCACGGGGGAAACATACTGGATCTAGCGGGCGGAGAGCCAGGCGCGAAGAACGCAGATGTAAACACCCTGTCCTCAGTGCTGGAAAAAGTATCTCAAGCTCATTTTCAAGCTGCAGCTCAGCATGTCGTCATCAAGTTGGTGCCATGCCCGGCCGTATGCGCTGAGGCCTTCTGCCTTGTGTCAAAGTAAGTAGCTATTACTAAAAGCCACTTTTAATGACCATGTTATTTGGAAATGGGCCATGGTATTCTTTGAAGTTAATACCATATATGCTTTGGGTTGGGTATCGTTTGGGTTTTTTTCGATACCGGTGCCAAATCGATACTTTTTTAAACAGTTCCGGTGCCTAAACGGTGCCTGAACCGATACTTATTAAAAAAATTAAAAATCCTCCCAAAAATTATGGATTGGCAATTAGAATAGAAATAGAATAGAGAGTGCAAATGGTAGAGGGTCAGTTTTTTAATAATAAAAACAAAACAAGCAGATAAAATTAGAAGTAGCATTAGAATAGAGAGTGCTAGAGTTAGAGAGTCAAATGAAGATGAAAGAGATGTGTTTTCAGCCGTTTCTTAAAAATATTAAGGACTCAGCTGCTTGGATTGAGCTGGGCAGGTCATTCCACCAGGAGGGAACAGTGAATGTAGAAGTCCATGAAAGTTTTATCATGGGTAGAATGCAAAATGTTTCAATACAAGCATTTCAGTCAAATGTATTTTATGCAATATTTCAAATCTTTAACCCACTTGGGAAAATCAACCCATGGCAACAGTTTAAAAGTAGCCCAATTCTGTGGAAAAAACGCAGACTTGGCAACCCTGCATCCAACAAGAGCTACCGGAGTCAACTTTGACTGATCACAGGTCGAGAATAAGGAGACTGACAAGACCATGCTGGAATATTTGCTGCTCAACAGATTCTGAGCTCATTGACAAATATCTGATCTTGTAAGATGTGCTCCCTTTACACAGAGTGCGTGTGATTGCGAAATCGAAAGTGAAAGTAAACAGCGCAAGCGCTCATTCAAATATTTAAATATACCGCATCCTGAGAGCGACTCCCTGATGTGCCAAAATTATACACAATATTAGAATGTTTAAAGGAGTGGACACGAAAATCGCTGGAGCGAAACACATGTTGCGGGAGCAGGCGGCAATGGTCAGACAGAGATTCAGCGGGAGTGGGATTATAAAACAGCCGAATCCCGGACATTTTGGGCAATTAAGAAATCTCGGCCGGACGCATTTTTTTAGGTCCAAAAAGAGGACATGTCCAGGGAAAAGAGAGCGTATGGTCACCATAATTTATAATCTATTGCTAATCGATATATTCTTTTTAAAGTAGCATATGGAACATATTTTGTGCCTCATTCTGTGACAAGAATCCTCATCAGATCACAAAAGGAAGCATTTGACACTCTCGTTACTACAAAGATGTGTTGGATTTGTATTATTAGAGCTTTCCGACTTGAGTTCATGTGCATTTTCTCAGTCGGGAAATAATTTTTCACGTGCGGTGCCGGTGATGATGCTTCTTATAACGTCCGTTTCGGAGAACCAGAGGACAAATATTTCAATTGATCGCTCAGGCATGGCACCGAAATGAGGCACCGAAATCTGCGTTCGGATTCGGTTCTAGTACATACTGGTTACATAGGTACCGGTGCCATATTGGTACCGGGTTTCGGTACCCAACCCTATATATGCTACCTACCACCTGATACCATTACTGTTTACTTCCAGCAGTACTATGGCTGAATATCCTAGAATGGAATGTTTTGCTTTATTGTGCATATACACTATGAAAGAGATGCCACATAATTAGAGGTTTTGCTCTGATGTCATGGGAAAACCCTCAGGTGAAACTGGCTAAAAGCATGAAACTCGTTTTTATGGGGAAATGCTGACAGATTCAGTCACAGTTGTTCTTGAGAGTTGGTTTTATGAACTAGCTGAGCAACTCGACTTCAACTAAAGAACATTTGAAAAACATTTTACAAATTAATGTCCTCAAATAAGAGCCCATTGGCCCCCTGGTGCACCGCTGTTCAAAAGTTTTTGGTCAGAAGAAAAAAAAATGTTTTTGAAAGAAGTCTCTTATGCTCACCATGACTGCATTTTTATGATCAAAAATACAGTATGCAGTAGGGCTGTCAAAAATTTTTTGGAATTTCGAATATTCGTCGAATTTAAAATAAAAATCCACATTCGAATGCAAAAATGTTGCATTCAAATTTTAGTTGTGCGTTAAGGAGGCAGCCTTATCAGGGGCGCACGAGATGTGATGACGATGTAAGTGTCGTTGCAATATAATGTTTTTGTTAGCCTATCCAGTTGAAGCCACTAGATGCGGCGCTGCTGCGTTGGTCATTAAAAATATTGCGGAAAAAGAGAACATCAGTGCGGAGAAGATCTTGTTTACATCAAAACTGAAACCAAGCCGTTCACAAAGAACACATATTTTGCGCATTTTCTAGAGGGACTTCTATCACCGTTGCACTCGCATCTCGCACAAGAGACGCATGTTTAGAAAGCTATGTAAAATTTATGCAAGTTTAACTTTGGAAAAAAAAAACATATCGAGACTTTATGGTGGGTTTTTTTCCCCCATCCCACTGCTTCTCATATTTTTAAATAAAAAATGTACTCGTGTGATTGGCTTTAAGCAACTTAATTATAATGGTTTATAAACATTATTTTAAACATTAAGCACTTTTTTTCACATATAGTCATGTTATCTTAAGCTTTGAATAAACGTGCATTAGTAATATTTTGCTCGATGTGCCCTCTTGTGGCCTCAGAAGAGAAGCCAAAAGCTTTTCTTCACGCTAACTGAAGTTATGCATTTTAAATTCGAATATAATTCGAATATATAAATATAATTATAATTATCGTTAAGTGCAAAATTTGAATTTAGTTTTTCAGCCATTTTGACAGCCCTAGTATGCAGTGTGGGAAATATTATTTAATAATAATATTTATTATTTGAATATATTTTAAAATGTAATTTATTCCTTTGATGGCAAAGCTGAATTTTCAGCAGCCATAACTCCAGTCTGATTTGCTGTTAAAGAAACATGTCTTATTATCAACGTTAACAACAGTTGTGCTGCTTAAAACTTTTGTGGACACAGTGTTTTCCAGGATTTTTTGCTGAATAGAAATTTCAAAAGAACAGCGTTTATTTGAAATAAAAATCTTTTTAACATTGTACATGTCTTTACTTTCACCTTTGATACATTTTTTGCATCCTTGCTGAATAAAAGTATTAATTTCTTTCAAAAAAACAAACAAACAAAATAAAAGCTCTTTACAGACACTACTCTTTTTTTTAATTGTACATTTTCACATGGAAAAGTCCAGAAGGGAATGCAGTATTTTTTTAATCAATTTTTAGATGTTGCAGCCCTTATTTATACAATAGAACTTCTGTATTAAAGTTGTGAGAATCCAGTGACAATAACCATTGTAATAATTTACTTATTTGTAAGGGAATTAATCATTATTAATTCATTCAGGTTTATTTCTAGCTCAGGTTTTAAAAGAACTCGATCTGAGAATTCGAGGTCCACCTGATCAAAACTGACTTTGACTTTCAATAGTTTATACTTTTATCAGCTACTCGACCAGCGAGAAGCTGATGTCAGTGTATATTACCAATTGAATATGTAATTTTGTATTCTCCCTGGCCACGGGTGAAATACAAAAATTTGATGATTTGTCAGCTCTTGAAAGACAGGTAATTATTATGCGTAAGCTACGAGCTAAGGTAACAAGCAAGGATCGTTTGGCAATAGAATTGACACGAAATTATATGACCCAGACAATTGATTAGTTATAAATGAAACATGAAATTTATTGGCTATTCTAGATCACATAAACTTAGAATTATTTACAGAACAAAAAGCAAAAAAGTTTAACGTAACAACATTTAAGAGTATTTTACAAATTTGTGTCCCCGAGTAAATCCACATTTGCCTTCTACTACAGATATTTTACAAGATTAAGGAGAATCCATGAGCAGTCTATGAATTCCATTGCCTTTCGCACAGCATCTCTTCATCTCGTGCAGGTAGAAAAGAGTGTAGATGAGATTCAAAGCCTAAGCTTAGCGTGATGAGACAATGAATTTAGTCATTCCTCTATGCTGTTTTTTGTTTATAAGGGATGAAACGAATAAGTGGTAAGAAGACAGCCCCAAGTAAGCATGTAACGCTAATGCTTTCTGTGAGAATCAGCCTTTATAATGAACAGACTCCCTTTAAGCTGTGAAACCGGATCCATTGCTTCAAGAGCTCAGTGGCTCGGGGCTCTTCTGAGGGATTTTTTTCTATAGCTTTAGGGCTTTTGTGGCCTTTTTTGTGTCTTTGCCATCACCTGGGTGAAGCAATGAAAATTGAGTAGCACCATAGAGTCAGAGAGGGTCTTTGATCACATGATCACAATCTCTGCCCACTCCCATGGCACACATGGTAAAATAAAATGTCAGTCATTGGGGTACCACAGAGATTAACATGGTAAACCCTGTTCATGAGTGACATACAAACTGCATTTGCTCTTTTTCTGTGGTTTTATGGTTCAGTGGCTGTAGCTGCAGTGAGTATTAAACTGACCTGAGCAAAGGACAAAGGGATAGATGCAGAAACCATGAGTAGTTGTATGTCTATTTGTCTGCCTTTGTCCAGTACTGAGAAAGGGGGATATAATAAAAGTGATATAATAAAGAACAACAGCCTACTGGGAGAGACTGAGTAATTGTTGCAGGTCATAATCGTGCTCCCTGGATACAGAATACACACAAACACACCCTTACAATCACACAATGGGGTTTTCTTTCATCAACACGACTTCCTTTTGCTTCCCACAGGATTAATGAAGGCATAGGCGGTCAGTTTACTCGTTACTTAGACCAGTGTTTCCCAACCTTTTTTTAACAAACTTGTGGCACCCTACAAAATTAATTTTGTCACAATATTTGAATTTCTAACTTCGATATGATAATTTGAAAAGTATAGCTATTGGGTACAACAGGGAAGAACTGCAGAATATAATGTCATACAGATATTTTTAATATTATTAAAAAAAATTGTCCATCAATGGTGGCAATCAGTAGGCTAATTTCTAATGAAGAGACCAATTTATGTGACAGATTTTAATGTAGGCTTTTATACATAAACATTATTTAA